AATTTTGTACCTACCTGTGTTTAATATTCTTTGGTTTGGTATACTACTTAGTTTAAGTTAATTAGTAATCATTCTTATTTCGTGCGTAATACAGCGTGTGTTGAATCGTGTGCGAATTATGCACAATATGTGCGAGTCTAGTGTATCTCAGCAGATGCTCTCGCCCAAATGTAGAAAACACTATTCTATTGAAACTGAGGAAGTTATAAACAATGTTTATTTGACTCTCATTGAACGTGGTGCCAGCAAGCAAGCATCTTTAGAAGAAACGGCCACATTGACGAAAATTCCAACATCAACTGTATGGAAAATTGTGAATAATCCCATTTCAGCGAGGAAAAAAAGAAGCGATGCTGACATTTTTTCGAGATGAAAGTGATCAAGATATAATACAGCGTAAAATTTACCAGTTATACGAGGAACAAAGCGTGCCTACATTAGATATCTTAATTAGGAGGCTGGAAAAAGATGAAACCGGTGTTAAATGTGGCAGAACTACCTTATGGAAGTGTATTCAACACATGGGTTTTAGATTTAAAAAAATTGACAAAAGGCAAGTTTTAATGGAATCTTTTTGAATTCGGAAATGGCGACTGGAATATCTAGAAAAAATTAGGATTTACAGAGAAGAACACAGGCCAATTATTTACTTGGATGAAACCTGGTTCGAGTTATTTTACCTCGGAAAAGGGTTGGGTTGACTCAACTGATAAGTGTAAAACAAACGCGCCATCAAAAAGAGGTAAAAGAATAACTCTTTTGCATTCTGGCTCTAAAGATGGTTGGATTCCAAATGAACTTTCTCTGTCTGCGAAAAATATTAAAGATTCTTCTCTGGATTACCATGAAGACACCACCGCTGATTTATTTGAAAGTTGGTTTAAAAGCAAACTAGTTCCAAACATTCCCCCTAATAGCGTCATTGTAATGGACAATGTAAGTTATCACGGTAGACAGTTGACTAAAACCCCTTCCTCATGAGACACAAAAGCAACAATCCAAAACTACATGTATAATAACGACATTTATTTTTACGAAGATTATACCAAAAAGCAATTAATTGAGATTCTACAAAGCTTGAACCTACAAAAGAAATACGTGCAAAAAATCTAGGGCATACAGTTTTAAGACTTCCACCTTACTACTGTATATTTAATCCCATTGAACATGTTTGAACTACTGAACTAACTGAAATCTGCCATTAGTCGTAACAATGTTTTTCCCCGTGTTAACTCCAGTGTCCCCAAACTTATAGAAACCGAAGTTTTTAACATCCCTCCACAAAGTTGGTAAAATTCTGTTAAACATATAGAAAAAGTAGAACAATCGTGTATCCATATTGCAAATAATATAGAACAAATAATAATTAGAACAGGCGATGATAGCTATAGTGATACTGATATATTATGTGAATAATTTTAAGTAATTTAAGTAGGTAATAAATAATTTGTAATTTTATTTTAGATTTAAGCATAAATGCATACATAAATAAATAAATGTTGTTTAGTATCTTTCCTAACAAAACCCCAAATAATTAATTTCTAAGCAAAGTACGGACCTGTTCGGCCATATTTCATTCTTACACCTTGCCCGGGTCTTTCCTTAATTCGTATCAGTTAGTCACTTTCTTATACCTGTGAACATACTTTACATCAATCCTTTTACTTCTTGTGTCTTCGTAAAGGCAAATATTTAAATGATGATGATGATGAATACCATTCAGGTACTCGTTATGTTGAGTGCAGATACAGAGGAGGTTAAATGGAAAAAAGAGTTTTGTGGGTGCCCATTTTAATAACATGAATATTATTTTGTAGACCCTAATCGACCGAATTCACAATTACTTTTTCTTGGGGACGCCATATGCGTATTTTTAATGAATGCAATGCACGTTTCTGTCTAATCAAGATGAGTAAATAAATCAATACAGCTATGTGGTTTAGGATACTATCTATAAGGTTATTTGGTTTAGTATCTGGTCTACCCAAGTTTATTTGACTTAGCAGGCGATCAACCTTAAATTTGCAAAATAAAGTACTTAATCGGTTGGTTAGTTTTAGTTTTGGGTTAATTTTGACAGTTCACTACTAACAACTAACCGGAAATAATATCAGCTAGATAGTATATTAAATCACCACTTTCTACTTAACTATTGAGTTTAATATGACGATACCCTTTACTTAACTATTGAGTACAAAGTGATAAACGAAAAATAAGAAAATTAAGACTTTGTTGCGGCAGACTTTGATATTTCTATTAAATTTCTTTCTGGTGAATATCTGAAAAATACGTTAGCTCAATATCTATAAAAGAACGAAAGTTGACTTCGGCCGAGCAGATTCCTTGATATATTCCTTGTCATAAAACCTGGCCATTTTTTATAGTAAAAGACTTATGATCGTTTGTCGGAAAAAAAATCGAAATGGTAGATGTTTAGAACGTGAAAATATAGATTCTTTTTAGGCACACAAATTCGCAACTTTTTGTTCCATTTAAACGGCTATACATTTCCTGTGTGTACTGTGTAAAAACTGGACACACCCATTTTTCAAACAAAGATGCGAATGAAAATTTAACACAATTTAGAAGATTTGAAAACTTAGAAAACAAGTTTTTATTTCAAATTATTTAAAATTGATCAAATCTCCTGTCTGGTTACGTCGCCATAACCTTGCAATATTTAATAATATTTAATAACCCCAAGATATCGGAAATTATGACACTCGGCAACTCGCTTCCTCTCGATTTATTAATAAATTAATACTAATCGTGATGTAGTTGGCAAACTGTAATTTTCGATGTCATTTTAACTAAATTGTTACTATCAAACCTCGCCGCTGAGGCCATAATCAGCGACTAAGCTGGTTTTAAGCTGCATGGAAATAGAGCCTGCTATAATCCTTCCTTGGGGTGCGGAGTAATAAAATCGATATTAAAACGTTACTTAACCATAGCATTAAAAAGTACATCATGAAACTAAAAGATATTCCAAGATATTCTGTGACTGTTGAATATTTGACAAACATTTTCGGGTCGCGATATACTAGTGATGCAAAAGGAATTTGTACCGAAATGCAGTGGGAATACCTTTTTTTAATACATACTGCCTTTACTCGAAAACCACAAAGTCGCAGGCCTTTAACTTGGGTAACTGCCAGTAGGTTTAATTTATGTTATTATTTAATTTATTTTTAATAAATTAATTTCTATAGCCAGTTTAAAAGTATCCAGCAAAAGAATAACAAAAACGCCACGAAACATTTATTTATTCAAGAATTTCCGAAGTAGGTGTCGCAAGTACCTCTTAAGCTTACGTCGTTTGTCTATTATCATCTACTGAATATAATTAACCACGTAAATTAACTACCTATTCAACCTATACTATACTACTGTCTGATCCAAAATCCTCAAAGATTTGTTAAATAAAATGAGTAAATTCTCCTTTCAATTTCGTACATTAAGTGTAAACTAGCTAAGAAGATACTGCGGTGGTCATACCTGAGTATGCAATACTATCCTTCCCTCTCAGAGCAACCTTGTCTAGGTATCAGTGTGCACGAATGGGTTTATTTGGAAGAGAGACTTGCCAGGTAGATGACCGCGGTGGCATTTTCTTGGCAAGTTTTTAATGTAATTGTAGTAAGGGTAATCGATATCATTGAACAAACTTTTCATTTGCCAAAACATTTAAAACTCTACAATGTTATGATCTGAAATTTTTTAATATTTAATACAACGCAATTTTTTGTTCATTTTTAAAAGAAAATATTTTCTGATTGTTACAAGCGATATAATTCCCCTTTTGCCTCGAGGCTCAATTCAAATAGTTTTTTAATAGTCTATTATGCAACAAGCGTGGCAATAGTGTATTATACAACAAGTACGGTAAACGGCATTTGACTCACGAGTTTATTTCACACGAGCGGAGCCTAGCGGAGCGACTGTATAATAAACGAGTGACTTAAAAACTTTAGCGAGCGTGTTGCATACTATACTTTTTCCACGATCGTTAGTTTTTGGGTAAATTTTTGACAAAACAACACGAATACATTCACTGACATGACCGTTAGAATTGACAAACGTCAAAATTTAAACCGTGTGGTAAAATTCCGATTGCTTCCAAAGTTGCTTTGATCCATATAAAACGAAACTGGTGCGGTAAAATGACACTTTTCGCAGGCTAGATAGATGTGTAATTAGCTATTTTACAGAACGGAGTAGAAAAATGATACGACTTTTTAATGTCATTAGGTAGTGAAATAAGGACCCAACAGTTCAATATCGTTAAATTATTTTTTTCATATCTTGCGATGCAGTTTTCACAGGATTGTTACGTCCCCAAGTATGACTCTCTAGTGACATGAACAATCATATTTTTTCAGAAAAATGCCAGATGACTTGTTAACCAAGTAAACAATCGCAATTATTTTAAGAAGAAACTGAAATTTGTTTAAAACTCCAACCACCTTTCAGTAAACAGCATTAAATAAAAAATATTTCAATTTATGTCAGCTTGAAAATAGCCACTTTGGCCATGGTGGTCATTTCAGAAATTCAAAAATAATTTCTAGCATTTTCTCTTGGTCGATTTACATTTTTTTTCGCCTACCTCGTTGTGCTTACTAGAACATACGGTATATTAGAGAAATTCTAGGTTTTGCTTTTTTTAAAGCCCGTTACTAGCGTTTTAAATTTAAATTCGTACAGATTCAACTAAGCTAATTATAATTTGTCTTCAGGTTGATCTCATATAATTTCTAAAATAGTATAAATTTAAAAAAAAATTAAGAAAAGGACGGAAACCTCCGGTCAATAGGTACTGGTATTTCCAAATTCCGTTGTTAAAATATTGTTTTACAGCAAGTCGTTTCGGTGATTCAGCCAAGTAATTTTGTAATTAAAACCTTATCTAGGCAACAAAGACCGGTGCAAAGTTCCTTTCGATTCTGACACGCAGTGGAGAAAAAGGTTTAACTGGCTCATTTTTTTTTTGCTTTCAGGACTGAGTAAATACGGAGTGTACTCTCTTTTTCCCGGTGGACCGACCTTTGGGAGCGCACTTTATTCACACGCGAGCACAATAGGACGTTTCGCCTCGGGACATATTCAGCAATCGTCGGGCAACGCATTTCATGCGGCCCACAAAGGTAAATATAAACATTACGCTGAAAAGTATGATGATTTTTAGTTTAATTGCTGAGAGAGCGGTTCTTGACATTTTGCCGATAATTCCGGACATGTTTCTATTACCGGGACAAAAATATCGATTTCGCAAAATGGCGCCGTTCGATTTTAGTCATTTATATGAACCGATTTCGTTGAATGCAAACTATCGGTCCGTGTTCGAACGAAAACTAAATCGATGAATGCACGGATGGCTTCTCGAACCTCCATTGTCTTTATTTATTTAATATTTCAATGCGTCAACCGGTTTCCCATCTGAACGAATATTAGGTTACGTTCATAGGGCGGGTGTCTCCAAGCGATTATACTGTTAAGAATGCATTGCTACTAAATCAACTCTAAGATAACACAATTTTTATCCTCTTCTAAACACAGCTTACGGGTGCTGTCATCATCCACCTCCATGAGGTGCTTTCTCACATTGCATTAGCCTCTCAGGATTTCTTTTAGGGCTTTTGGTACTGGGACGTAGCGGGTACCAATGACTACGTGACTTAGTTAGTCAACTCCCTCTCTCAGTCTCTTCGATGCTAGTGAAGATCGGTTTCGTTTTTCTTCCTTAGCCAATTGCCGCCTTGAATGCTAACTAGAGCTTAACGGAGCCAACGAAGTACTGTCGTCATTTCGCCAGAGTACAGAACCGGTCTAAGCTTTTATGATGATATAATTTTGGTTAGTTTGGGTTAGTTTTGATTATTTTTGGGTTAATTAATTTTAATTAAGTTGATTAATTAATGTTAATTAAGTTAATTAAGTCAACAAAAATACCTATCTATGAAAGCATTCGTCAAGTTTCGCAATACATGCATACCGTATGTATGGATGAGATCAGTATTTCACCAATCGGAACCAACACTTTATGAAATTACTAGGAAATATACGTAACTACAACAATGGTAACTACCTATGAAAATAAGACTCTTCATGTTATTTGGTGGATACTTCATTTTATCAGTCAAATTTTATGGTTGCACCATCCCCGGATCCTAAGTTATTGTACAGGTAATCCGTAACGCAGATTTACAGGAGGAAATCCACTTTTTTATTATAGGTTAAACTTCAATTTATACGCCATTGCCAGACGGACCCAATTGAAATAATTGAATTGGCGGTTTCTCAGTAACCATTCATTTAAATTCATCAAGTTCTGAAGTTCTCTGTATCATGACGTCATTTATCACTAATAAGCATTAGCACTGCTATAGTATATTGGCCCAAAATTAAAAATAACCGAATTATTAACAAATTTATGTATTTTAGATGTTGGGCATGTAAATGAGAATTAAGATTTAGAATTAAAAATATAAATATGGCTGGCACATGTGCAGGAAAAGTAGTTTTAATGTGTATTAATGTGTATTAAACATTCCCTAAAATGGAATATGTGTTTTAAAATGGAGATATATGGCAGTAATTCAGTTATTAATTTTCTGCATTCATCTACCGCTTCACTAATGTAACCGACTTGAAATATTGCGCACTTCATTTGGTACAACCGGTCGAAGTGTATTATCAAATCAAATAAAATCAAATTACAAACTGCAATAGTGTAGCCGACAATCTTGGAAGTAATAGATAAACCATTAGACAAATGCACCTAGGTGTATTAGAGCACCTGTATGTGCAGTAAAGATAATATACTTATATTTTAAAATAATATACTTTATCTTTAATGCACATACAGGTGCTCTTGTGCACCTAGATGCACTAGTCTAACTGTTTTGTAATTTTTTTAAAGAGGTCTACTCCATTGACATAAAATTACAAAAGAAAGAAGCAGTAAAACTTTCTACAGAAAAACAAGGAACTGTTCTAGATTCTCAACGACATAGTCTCTGTTTTTAATTGTATATTCCTGAATTGCACATGAAGACAATTATAAAATAGTTCAAATATCGGACATCCACCTGAAAGGTGTAAAAAAGTTTTTCTCCTCCCGTCTGTAAAATACCTAATTACGCACCAATCTAGCGTGCGGGAAGCGTCGCTTTACCCCGTCAGTTTCGTTTCCCATGAATCCGAGCCACTTCGGACATTTCCGGGATTTTACCGCACGGGTTTGGGAGCAATCGGATGTTTTCGGAGATATTTCCCACACTTTGAATTTTGACGCTTGTCAATTCTGACGGTCATGTCAGTGAATGTATTCGCGTTGTTTTGCGAGAATGTACCCAAAAGCTAACGGTCGTAGAAAAAGTATAATATGCAACACGTTCGGTAAACTTTTTAACTCACTCGTTTATTAAAAACTCGCTCCGCTAGTGTCAAATAAACTCGTGAGTCAAATGCCGTTTACCGCACTTGTTGCATAATATACTATTATTTTTTTTGAAAACTATCTTCAATCCAGGATTTAATATAATTTATTTCTTACGACGTGGTAGCTTTGATCGTACCACCGCGATCAATTTAATAATTAAAAATAATAAAAAATATATTATTACAAGCTACAAATTATACATGTCAGAACAAATACAGCAATAAACAGTGTGAATAAAGTGAAGGTGCCGCTAAAGTCAACTAAGCCTAAACACTCACCAGAAGAGACAGAGGAATTAGGGAGAAAAGAAAGCAGAGGGAAGTGCTAAGAAGCGAAGAAAAGAGGAGGATAAATAAAATAAAAAACTAAATGCCCACATATCAATTCAGTTACAAATTTATGTTGAACTAATGGATATAGTAAAATAATTTATTTTTTTTACTCCCGTCTGTAAAATACCTAATTACCTACCGATCTAGCGTGCGGGAAGCGTCACTTTACCACGTCAGTGTCCTTTCAAACGAATCCGAGCTACTTCGGACATTTCCGGGATGTTACCGCACGGATTTGGGAGCAATCGGATGTTTTCGGAGATATTTCCCACGCTTTCAATTTTGACGTTTGCCAATTGACGGTCATGTTAGTGAATGTATTCGTGTTGTTTTACGAAAATGTACCCCAAAAACTAAAGGTACTAGAAAAAGTATAGTATGCAACACGTTCGGTAAGCTTTTTAACTCACTCGTTTATTAAACAATTTGAAACACTGTCAATTTTCGTCTAGGGCTTTAACAAACTGCTCCATCAAGCCAAGTTTGATATGAAAAGGACTCAGTAAAACTTTTTTGGGGTCAACTAAGCTATCTCTTAATACATTTTTGCTATCAGGTGTAAGGCTTGTTCTAGAGGGCCATTTTATTGAAGTCCAACATCTATCTCTTGCCCGACTATTTCACTCACAAATAAGGCATAGAAATTTTATATAACCCCCCTGTTGTCCTAGGAGCATGGACAGCACTTTCTTCGTTTATATGGCACATTTCCTTATTTTCAAACTACGTCAGGAATGTTGTTGCAGACACTAGCGGTCCTTCTTGAGTAAAATATTGACATAACTCTTTTTTGGGATCCCGGTAAAAGCTTGATGTGACGCCAGGTGCCAGTAAAACAGCTTTCAAATAACAAAATCACTGTAGACCTGTGTTATAGGATTTTAGTATGTAACGATCAACATCGTTAAGTCGCGATCGTCCGCAAAATGCCGTAATTACTTCAATCGTTCCATTAGGTTCACTGATCTATAATTCATAAACCGTATATTTTAATGCGACCGGCTTGTCTTTCAGTTCCGTTTAATCTTTAGGATTGTTATAAAGTAACCACATCGAAAATGTTGACCCATGTGCCAGGTACTCTATATATGTCGCAGAGATTAAAACCAAACTCGTTCTAGAGTCCGGCATGTTTGTAAGGTCAAAAAATGTGTTGAAAATAAGTTATTTTTATGATTAGTGAAACTGCATTTAAAGATTAGTGCGTAGACTGGTAACTGTTAAGTATGTTCCGTATAAAAAACTTTATTAGGCAAGTTATACAACAATATATAAACCTTTGCTACCGGCCACACTCATTAAACGACAACTCGTATATAACGACCATTTTTGCATTCCTGCGCTTGCTATAATTTCTGTTTTAAGCTACTTTTTACAAAACTTCTGGATTCCTCCTGCGTCAGTTTTTACTGAGCCGACCTTACTAACGATTTCCATATTGGTGGCAGTCTGGTTAAGTCTCGGTTAAGATTGTTAGGTTGTTTATAGACTTCTATAGATTCTCAGATTTTTCGTTGGTAGAAGAATTGATGACATGCAAGAATTTTATTTTTATCGAATAAAATTTTATGTCCGGTTTTGTCATTGTGTTCGGCAACTGGTGATGAGTTTATTTGTCTTAGTCTTAAGGCTCTTTCATGTCCTTTAAGCCTAGTTGATACTTTTCGTCCGGTCTCTCCAATATATTCTTTGCCGCATATGTATGGAATGCTGTAAACTCCTGGCATCTCAAATGGAATTTTGTCTTTGACGGATCGAAGATGATGAGAGATTTTTGGACAAGTAGTAAATCTCATTTTGGACCTTATATTTCTTTAGAACTTGTGATATGTGGTCAGTGATATCTTGAATGTAAGGAAGTAAATAACTGAGTCTGTATGGATAGGTTGTCTGTAAACACAATAACCCAATGTTAGATATGATTTTCGATTGATAAGAATATCTAAGAATGGGAGGTTATTATTAGTTTCCAACTCAATGATAAAACGTATGTTGGGGTGTATACAGTTTAAATGTCTAAGAAAATCTACTAGGGGTTCTTGATCATGAGGCCAAATAACAACAGTATCATCGACGTAGCGTTTCCACAATTTTAGTTTTAGATGAAAGGTGTTGAGAGTTTTCTTCAATATATTCGGGATGACTGGTGATAGTGGAGAGCTCAGAGCTGTTCCCGACGTTTGTTAAAAAATTTGACCGTTATAAGAAACATATGTCCCAGACAAACATTTTTCAATTAAGGTGAAACATTTTGTTTCCCTATTCTCGGATTTTAATATATCTTAAATGATATAGAGAGTTTCGGGGATAGGAACTTAGGTAAAGAGGGATTCTACATCGAAAATAACAAGAATTTTATTCATGTTAGTTT